GTAGTAAGAGCGCATATATATATATATATATATATATATATACACACACACACACACACAAATATCTCGAGTATAAAAATAATTTAATTTATTTTGCTACATTTATTTTTTATTTATTTTTTATTTTATGATAAAGAATTTTTAAAATTTATTGATACAAAATAAAGTTCAATAAATTTTCTCTATAAATCATTATAGTTGTGTGACCTTTTGAGATATTAACTCTAATTTATTAAGATGACAATTATTTAGTCTCAAATAATTTAAGTGAGGAAACAGTAAATATGACAATAAAATTTTTCTTTTCCTATTTAGTTAAAAATGTTATAAAAAAATAATATTATCCGTTAATTATCTACCTTGACTCCATTACATGAAATAGAAAATTTCATAATAACTCTAGGGTATAATTGGAAAGAATATTTTTTGTAAACTTGTAAACCACACACAAAATTAGTTAAGAAACAATGAATCAAACACTTGATAAAAATAATCTCTGTATTACTAATCTCTGCATTACCAATCCATGTATTAATAAACCCTGCATTACTAATCCCTTCATTATTGATCTTTGTATTAAATGATCCTTTAATTAATTACTTTGAAAACGGTAGAACTTTTTGAAAATCTTAAAATTTTAATTCATTCACTTCATAATTAATAGAGGTAAAATGGTAATCTCACTATGTCAATAATTATTTTCATAATAAGTGTATCAGTAGACAAATAATTAAGGACAGAGAAAATAATAAATATAATGCCTTAAAAAAATATAATAGAAAAATGACTATAATTAATAAAAAATAATTATAAACTAAGTATAAAATTTTTCTATTAATTATATAAAATAGATAAATATTATTAGATATCCTAATATTGAGGGCAAATAATATTAAACTAAGAAAATATTCCTTATTAGCATATTTTGTACTTTCTCTATTTTATATTTAAGTAAATTTGCGAAACGATCGAGAGAATAAAAGTTGACAACATTGTACAAATAGAACACCATTTTTTATTTTTATCTTCTAAATTATTGTGCTAATTACTCCCCATTCATTTATATATGTCGGCTATACTAAAATAAGTTGTACAACAATATTTGTAATAATTTATTTTTTTTTCATGATGTTCTAACAAAAATTGTATTTTAATTTTTTTATAATTAATTAAATCAAAAATTATTAATTTTGAGAGTCAATAAAATTCGTCATAACATTTAAATATTTAAGTTATTAGTCATCGTGATATATATATATATATATATATATATATATATATATATA